TGTGTGGTTAGACACATTAGTAGACATATAACAGTTAGAAGTTACACAGTAAACTAATCTAGCAGAAGATTCTATTCTATTCCTCTCTATTTTTATGGCCTCCAGGTGCTTTATACTATCAAGTAAAGACCCTAGAATAATAAAGAGAAAACTCTCTGTGAGCAAGCACTCTGGCAAGAGTGGAAAGGAAAAACTCCCTTTTAACAGGAAGACATCTCCAGAAGAACCCAGGAGGCTCAGAGTGGCAGCAATGCACTGCCCCTGGTTGGGGGTGACGTGAGGGAGACAGGATGATAGACACAGTGTGGAGCCAAAGTTATAATAACTGGTTAAATGTAGAGTGGTGCAGAAAGTTTGTCACTGCCATTTGTCAGTCTTATGGGCTGAACTTGCTTCTCTTTTGGCAGTGCACTGGTAGACCATATACAGTCCATCTACCTGCACAGAGCATCTGCTGTCACACGTGTCCAAAGTATGTGGTTCAACCAATCTGTGGTCTTGTGAAACTGAGCTTTGAAAATAAGGAAAAGCATCCACTGCAGCGCATGTCTATGTTTTCAATACTTTATTTTTGAACTTTAATGTTTTTTCAGACTTCTGCACCCTCGCCCCATTCTGGCCCACTTGTCAACCATTCGGCATTCAGCCTACGCACGGTTGAACAACGTGCCGTTTGGGTTTTTAGAGGAGAACATGGGAACGCATTTGCATTGCTTTTGCATTTGTGTTCAAAACTTCTCCCCAGGCTATGTAGGCAAACAGCTATGTAACCAGATATAACCATGGTAGTATAAAACAAGCATTACTAATCAGCATCTTTTAGGAGATGCTTTGAAACAGCATGTGGTACCTTTTATTAAAACTCAGTCTTGTGGGAAAAGCTGTCAACTTCAAAAATGCAGGTAATTTGAAGACCATATTAATTAATCAGGTGTTTATTTTCACACTTTGAACAACCTTAAACCTTTGGACTCATGCATGATGTGTGGGGGAAGGACCTTCCAAGAAGGAAGAATTTCATCACTGGAAAACAGCCTCAATACCCTGAAGTTGCGACATAATCCTATGAAGTATCAATGGTGGCAATCAGAAGATGGCAGATATGCAAGTTTGGTCTTGGTGCAATCTGGAAATAAAATGACTTGCCCGCTTAAAAACTTCAGTAGCTGCCAGTGAAGATGCAATCTATGTATTCTTTTTCTTATCTCAGATAAACTGAGAGATACTGGAGTCAGACTTCCACATAAGGGTTATTCTTCTGAGGCAGTGAAGTTAAAGGAAGTTAAAAAAAATTACATATATCCCACTGTTTGAATTCTTTCACTTTCACTTCTACTTATTGAAATTAGTATACTTTAAAGCATTCTGCTTATTTTTATTATATTTACTTATTGTACAGCTTTCACATTCTCTGAAAGGTTGCAGTCCTTCAGCTGCTCTGTAAACAGAATAACTCAATATACCATATGATGAGAGTGTGAATGGTACTTTTAGTTGCCCCAAATCAGCCACGCTTAAAATATACAGAAACAAATGAGAGAGAAAGCAGTGATAAATTGTGTTTAGCGGTCACAAACCTGTGGTGGGTCTACAGATACCAGAGTGATTTACTGGTTCAGCTTAGAAACAGAACAACAAAAAATAAAAACACAGCCATATTTGTCTGTTTGTGTAAAAATCATTATTTCTGATGTGGGCTGTCAGTGACAGACGCAGCAACTCCCAGTAAACAGGGAATTCCCTGTTAGTGAGCTTTTCCCACCATATCACTTCAGTGAGCTAAGACATTTTCAGTAATCCATAGCAGATGTTATAATAACTGGCGTCATGTCACGGTCCGCGAGCAGTCACAGTGATGAAGACTCACTTGTGTGATTAGCCTGCATGCCTGAACATGGAGGAAAGCAGCCACTAAGCAATGTGTTGGCAGAAATGTTATCACGGCCGTTTAGGGAGGGTAACATCCCTTATACATCATGGAGCTATTTAAGATGCGTCATTATACAAGCATCAGAAAATGTGACTGTCAGTGTGTCATGAGACCTGCTCTCGAAAATGACCAAAATATATAAAGTCTATTTAAACACACAGGTAACTGATGCTGATAATAACTGATGCTGCTACAGGTATATTGGCTCACTTGTGCCCACATATTCTTCTGAACTTTCTTTAATTCGTAAGTGAAACTGTCAGTGTGTGTGTTTCCAGTTAGGTGATAAGCAGAAAAAACCTACCACGTTTTTTTGATAGCAGGAAATACTGAAGCAAATCAGCAACAGAAGAAGTTGTACTCTTGGTTTAAACACCCTACTATGAGGCAACAGTGATAACCACTGAGATAAGATGGTGGCATTACTAGGGTGTCTATTGACCATTGTTATTTTTAATCACAGGAGTTACATCACTCCTTCTTACTCGTTTATTTCTGTAAAATTATTATAACTTTATAATTTAGGTTGTAGAAAATGATGGAGGCAAAACTAAAATTAAGTCATGTAAACCCCCATTTATCCTAATTGCCAACAGGGGGCTTCAAAATTGAATTCAACTGTAAAGAAATCAATGAAAATATTTTAGATTTTTCCTGATTTATGATCTAGGTAAATTCTCTCCTCGTCAACTTATCATCTCAATTGCTATTTCCAAGTTAGATTTATGTTTATTTTGTATATTAATGTTACATTTACCCCCAGCCAATTACCCAAGTGGCTCAGGATCATGTCTCTTCTTCTTTTGCAGATGATCAAGCGATGACCTCAAGAAAAACTTGCTGCTGAGTATCAAACTATAGGAATGAGAATTAGCACTTCCAAATCTGAGGCCATGATCAGAAAAAAGAATAGTGCACAAGCTGATTTTAAGACTCTCTAGGTCTGAGTGGAGATGGACATCGAAAGATGGATTGATGTGGGTTTTGGGAGCGATGTGAGCGCTGTACCATTTTTTTGTGATTAAGAGAGTGCTAAGGGAAGCACTGATCTTCCGACCTTCACCTTTGGCCGTGAGCTCTGGGTAGTGCCTGAAAGAACTGAATCATGGATACTAGCGTCAGATATGAGCTTCCTCCGAAGGGTGGCTGTATTCTTCCTTAGAGGAAATTTGTAAATTGAGAGGGATTCAGAGCCTGGCCACTACTCCACATCAAAAGGAACCAAATGAAGTGACTTGGACATATGAATAGGATGCCTCCTAGGTACCTTGTAGGTGAGGTCGTCTGAGCATGTCCTGCTGGGAGGAGGCCCTGTAGCAGATCCACGATACACTCGAGAGATTACATCTCTTGGCTGGTGTGGGGAGTGGAAGGTCTTGGCATAGAGTGTGTGCCCTGAGACTTGAGCCCAGATAAGAAAATTGATGGTGGATGGATGTTATGTTTAGAGTGAACAAACAACAATCGATTACGGGTATGACTATCTTGGTATTGACAAGTTTCTGCCATATGACAATGTGCTCTCAGTGTCCTCAACACTTAGATCCACCCCTCGCTGTTGATGCCCTGATTTAAAGTATTCAAGATGACCATGGCCAAAATGCCAAACTCAATCCAACAGGTGACAACATTGTGGCTATGTCCGTTTTTACATAGAGCTCATGGTTTCATAACCCATATATACTGCAAATAACAAGTCAAGAGAGTTAGAGACAAGCCTGGTCTAAGCCTTAATAATAGTTATATACAAAAGCAGTTAACAGGAATTTCCTGAGAAAGTTATTATTCTGTTTCTCACTTCTCTCTCACTCTCTCACTGCAAGAGTGTAAACTTCTCCAGAGTTTAAAAAAAGTAGTCAAGAGTTAAGCATCTGCTATTAATTAAAACAAAAAGTCAGGCATTCCAGAGGAACCGCAGTAAGCCACCCCAGACTGCCCACCCACTCTTATCTCTATCTTTTTTCTTTTTCTTTTTACATTTCCTCAACTCCAAATATATTAAATTGGCTTGTTGTCTGAGCCAAGCCTGAAGAGAAGCATAGTAAGCCATTCCAGGGAGGTGTTGCACTGGTGAAAAAGCATCAGGGACATGCCAGGTGTGTGTATCCATTCTCCCAGAAGACTTTGCTATTCTTCTGTCTCTAATAGTCACTTTAGCCCCTTCCTTTCACTTCTCTCACGCACAAACACACTTCTTCACCACAGAAACATAGACTAGAAGGGAAGAAATGAGGAGTCGGAGGATAAATAACAAAGCAATGAGAGAGGGTGGCGGGGTGTGGTGGAGGGGCTTTGAGTAAAGAGTGGGAAAAGAGAGCCCAAAAAACGAACAGTCAGAGGAACATGGAAAATCCCTGGTTCCCATGCCAAGAATTCGGTGCAGTGAAAGCACACACACACACACACACACACACACACACACACACACACACACACACACACACACACACACACACACACACACACGCACACACACAGTGTATCTGAAAGCCTGCTGGGAGCTCAATGTAAAAGGTGGTGATAAAAATTATCAGTTTGGTTTCTAGAGAACAGAGTTCAGGAAAAATCCCTGATCCTTTGCCTCTGTTACTTGTTACTTAGTAACTTTTTTGATTTAGAAATTATGAAATTAAAAATTTAATGAGTGAAAATAAAAAAGAAAAGAGACTATACGTTATCTACATGGCAGGAGGCAGAATGCAAAGATTTCACATGACACAAACTATTTGTTTTCCTGTTATTTTGCCTTCTTGGGAAAACTTTGACCTTTTCTAAAACCTTGATATCTTTGGTACCAGTCCCTTTTTTGCCAGCTTAATCCTTTTCAAGTTACCTACTTAAAATGTATGGCTGCAAATGGGTCTTCATGTGTAACATTTAAATAGCCATTTTAAACCAAGCTGGATTTAAAGGGATAACGTAATCATGAATAATTCAGTAAATACTTACTTTATGCTAGCCAGTCTTATTGCGGTTATGATAATGACCAGTTGCCGGCAGCCACATTACCGCTACAGTGCATGTCAACAGTTTTCCTTTCCCTGCCTGACGCTTGCAAGTGGCACAGCTGCTATCTATAGTCCATCTCTATTTTAAGACCATGCAGACAGGACGCAATGGAGCTCACACAAATCTTTATTTACCATGCAGCTCGAGGGAAAAAATGGCTATTCCACACTCGAGTCACACACAAAATAATTACTTGAGAGGCCGTTTTAGGAAGAACAGAGATCCTGGTTTAAGAGACCATGGAAATGCCCGAAGGCCTGGGAATCAACCGGGATATTCATGCCGAGAATGCGACCCTTGATCTGGAGAACAGAGAGTGCCAGGCAGGCTGGCTGAGAGTGAGGGTGGAGGACAGTTGGTTCACTGTGGAGCGGGCTTTTCTCCTTAAGTACAGCGACTATTTCTGTGCTCTTTTTCACTCTGGGATGAAAGAAAGTCAGCAAGATGAGCTCTACCTGAAAGGAGGAGTGCACGCAAGAGGTTTCCTCATTGCCCTTGCAGTCTGCAGGGGAGAGATTCCCACCATCAGTGAACCAGATGAGCTTGTCGAAGCGGTCGAGTGTGCTGCTTTTCTACAGGTTGAACATTTGGTCCTGCATCTTTGCGACATTATAGACTCGGACAACTGCCTTCTGCTTTACCATACAGCCTCCATATTTGGGGTGCACGCACTGTTTCACAATGCTGCACTCTTTCTTTGTGACACCTTTGATGATCTCAAGGATGAAGCAGAAAGTTCAATCCCCGAGGAGCTGCTGCAATACTCTCAAACTTTGTCCCCTTCTTCTTTTATTGCTATAGGGACCCATTCTCCTTCACTGGAGCTGCTGCAAGACTCCTTCAGGGTCGTTTGCTACCTCGACGAAAAAGAGGGGCAGTGGAAACATCTGACAGACCTACCAACTGCTTGCAGCACCTCCATGGCTGGAGTAGCAGTGGTTGACAATCGCTTATATATCGTTGGTGGGGTTTTTGGTTACAGTAAGGACACAGTGGACAGTAGCTTCTGCTACAACCCCGATTCAGGACTTTGGACTACTCTCCCAGGTCCCCAGCAACCCAGATATAATTTTACCCTTCTTGGGCACGGGGGTCAGCTCTACGCCATTGGTGGAGAGTCCCAAAAGAATATAATTTCCACAGCAGAGAGGTATGATGTTGTAAAAGGAGAGTGGACATTTATACAGCATGCGCCACGACCTGTAGCATCTGCAGCTTGTGCTGTCGCTAGACGACGGATATTTATTTGCTTCTGGAAGCCACCAGACACCACAGACATCTATGAATACGTACCTGTGAATGATGAGTGGAAGCTTGCTACCACACTGATCAGACCTCAGAGCTATGGCCACTGTATGGTAGCTCACAAGGACAATTTGTATGTGATGCGCAACGGGCCTTGTGACGACTTTCTTCGCTGTCTAATGGATTGTTATAATATCACAACAGGCCAGTGGACAGCTATGCATGGGCATTACATCAACAGCAAGGGAGCTCTGTTCACCGCAATGATCAGGGGGGATTCTGCGTTCACAGTGAAACACATGTTAACTCTTGTGTATACCATCACTGAAAATGGATGGAAGCCCCGTAAGCAGATGAACGGATTTCCAAAGAGTGGTTCACTGTGGACATGTTTACTCAGGCTTCCCAAGACGGGGCCAGTTATACCACAGCTGGATGCAGAAGGCAAGGAAGGAGAAATGCCTCTGTCAGACCTGTCTGAGGCATATCTGGAAGCTATACAGCACTTGTGAAATTATTGTACAACTGAAAAGTAAAACGTTTTTTGAGATTTTAAATAATAAAATAAATCCTCGAAAATACTGCTGCTAAATAATTCTGAAGGCTCCAAATGGACAAAAATTAACTTTATTTCAATGCATCCAATTCACATGCACTCTCACACACATGCTGACAAGCACTTGCACTGATTAACAACAGCTGCTACTGCAGTTTATAGTAGGGAGGCCACTGTGCATGTGTGTGAAGTTCAAAGGCACTGACGGGATGTTTTAAACCTTTTTCCTGAAGTCACACTGGGCCAATTCAGAAGCCACTGGTCTCCTAGTCAACATGAAACACAGTGTAGTTCCCTCTCACACACTCCTGAACAATCACCTCTCCAGTCTTGTAGCCCCATGGGTTGTTAAATACCTGCTTCTGAGGGAGAACACATTTCACGAAGCCTCGGCTTGCAACTCTGATGGTTGAGGGGAATGATTTTGGCTTGCATGACCACAGACGTTATTTGTGTCATTATATTAAAACTGCTGCAGCTGGGTTTCAATATCTGACAACAACCCATTAACTTACAGTACTTTTTACTGTAAGTTACAGTACTGTTTTTAGCACTACGCTTCTTAGTGATAGCTGTGCACATACTGTAACACAAGACCAAAATGCTGTCGGTTACATATCAATTTGGAATTTGTCTTCTGGCTTCTTTGGTATACAGTAGGATATCTTGATCACCACTGATTTGTTCCATCTACTATATTACTTCAGCCACTGACTTGGGTCAGTGCTATTAACATTCCCACAACCACAGTGGCAGAGACCCAAATATTTGTGCTTTTTAAGCCAAATCATTCTGCATCATTCTTCTGTTACTCCAATTATGGAAAGAACTGGTCAACACTTACTGTTCTGGGGGGTGGCAGGTCGGGAAGGTTCTTTTGTGGGACGGGGACACGTTTTGCTGCTTTTCCATTGAGCAGGGCATCTAATCTGTCATCTTGGTAACACAAGCAGAGAGTGGAAGGTCAGTATATACCAGGCATTTTGCATTTAAATTCATTTCCATAGCATACCAGAACATTTCAGGATAAATGAATAGCTGTCATCTTGCAAGTATAAATTCCACATATCCAGCTATCTCGGTTAAATATTAATGCAGTGGTATCCCCAACTAACACAATGATATAATCTTCATATCTATATCTATATATATATAGATATATATATAGCTTTTCAAACCTTGCAGTCAACCTGTTCATAACTGGGCTTTGAAAGTGCAAATTTACTTGTTTGTTCCTGCTGAAAGCCATGTTCTGTTAAACTAATCCATGGGTTCCAAAACTGTGAGCTGAGGCAAGTGAAAAATAAACATGCAAGAGTTTGCTGATGCTATCATGTTCACATCATTTGTGTAAGATTCAAAATATTTCCTTTAACAAAGTTAATTATTGATAAAAATGGTATGATGTAGGGCATGAGTTAATATTTTGCCTCTGAACGGGCATGCTAGAAAGAGTGTTGGCTATGTTAGCTATGCTAGCATTTAGCATGCAGATACGGAGTGATAACATCATATACAGTATGATAACAAACCTCTACACTGTCTTAAACCAAACTCCCCCAAATGTTAAAATACTAACAATGGTATGGCCACTTGTGGTGTCAAGCATTAAGTCATAATTTTGTCTTTTTTTTCCTTTGTTTTATCATGCTAACCTAAACCATTTAGGATAATATCAGGTCATTTTGATTCATGCATTTATCTTTCTTCTAATATTGTAAGATCTTTACCTTACCATATAAACCATCTTAAGGCAACTGTTTTTGTGAATTGGGGGTGTATATTGTGGCGAGCTCAGACAAGGAGGAGACGTAGGTATCGTTTGGTCTTGCTTCCCGTGAGCTAGCCAGGGAGCACAGCCGTTTATTAACATTTGCAGAAGAACACTGCCGCTAGCTAACTGCTCAGCGCGGCAACAACAACAGCAACACCCACAGCGCCCTCTGACAGAAGGACACACCGTCGCAGTGAGAGGGCGTCACCCGTCACTATGGCAACATAAACAAACATAACTGTACAAACAGAACCCCGAACAGCCCTGACCCGCTACATAGCCCCCACCTAAGGGGTCAGTCGTCCCCGACGACCCCATTACCCCACACGAAGTCCTGCAAATGTCCAGGTGCCTTCTTTTGGCGCACTGGCTGGTCACGACCGGCGGGGGAAAAGTCACTCGGGTCAGAACATGGGGTGCCACCATCATCCCCTGCCCCGGCGTCCGCCGGAGCGAGCGGTCGGTACGGTGAGAGCCTGTCCCGGTGCAACACCACCATGCGCCCCGGCCCCGGCATGCGGATACGGTACACCACGTCTGTTAGCCGCTCCACGACCTCCGCCGGCCCTTGCCAGTGACTGCAGAGTTTGGGGGACACTCCTCTCTTGCGAACTGGGCAGTACACCCAAACCTTGTCGCCAGGCATGAAAACCCCCCCTCGGCACTTGGTGTCGTAGGCTCTTTTCTGTCGTACTTCGGCGCTGGCCTGGGCCTGGCGGGTGTAGTCATGAACCACCTGCAGCCGCTCCCTCAGCCTCCAGTAGTAGTCCATCTCTGGCCCACCATCAATCTCTGGCTCGGGGGGGGGACCCGAACACCAGATCCACAGGCGTCCAGAGCTCCCGTCCAAACATCAGAGCGGCAGGTGTGCACTGGCTGGACTCCTGCACCGCAGTCCGATACGACCAAAGGACCAGGGGCGGATGTCGGTCCCAATCCGGTGAGAATGGCGAGCTGGGTGGCCAGCGTGCGGTTGAAGCACTCAACCAAGCCATCGTTTTGTAGGTGGAGCGGTGTGGTTCTCGTCTTCTCCACCCCCAGTCGCCAGCAGATCTCCCCGAAGACCTTCGATTCGAAGTTACGCCCCTGGTCACTGTGGAGCTCAGCCGGGACCCCAAATCGGGTGAACATCTCCTCCACCAGCTTCTCGGCCGTCGTCGTTGCGCTCTGGTCCGGCACCGCGTAGGCCTCTGGCCACTTCGTGAAATAGTCCATAGCCACCAACACATACCGGTTCCCTGACTCTGTGACGGGGAAAGGCCCTAGGATGTCCACTCCCACTCTTTCCATTGGGGCCCCCACCAAGTACTGCTGAAGGGGGCAGTGGAGCGTTGAGTTGGGCCCTTTTGTGCCGTGCAGGTGTCACAGCAGTGCACATGAAGTTCCACATCCCGTCGACAGCCAGGCCAGTAGAACCGTCCCCTGAGGCGGCGGAGAGTTTTGGCGTTCCCATAGTGTCCTGCCCCCACCGAGCCGTGGACCAGCTCAAGCACCTGCGACCGCAGCGACCGAGGCACCAACAGCTGCAGGAGATCTCTGCCCTGACCGGGGGCCCGCCATCTCCGGTACAGGAGGCCGTCGTGGGTCTCCAGATTGTTGTGCTGGGAGTAGTAGGCCTTCACCTCGGGCTCCTGTCCCGACACCCCCGTCCAGGCGGGGCATTGCGCCGCCTCCAGCCAGGCTCCCACCTGAACCAACGTCGCGTCAGCCTCCTGCTCCCGCTTCAGCTGCTGCGTTGTCAATGGGAGCCACCCCCCTCCTCCAGCCGTGGCCTGAGCAGTAGCCACCCCCAGCCCCTCCTGGGTCCGCTCCTCCTGTCGCAGGCAGTAGCGTCACTCGACGGCTACGCAGGGCCGTCTGGAGAGGGCATCAGCGTTGCCATGCTGTCGACCTGGCTGATGCTGGATCTCGAAGTCATAGCCCTGAAGGACCTCCAGCCAGCGGGCCACCTGCCCTTCTGGGTGTTTGAAGTTCAGGAGCCAAGTCAGAGATGCATGGTCAGTGCGCAGGAGGAACCGGCAGCCGTGCAGATATGGCTGGAAGTGCCGCACCGCTAGCACTACGGCCAGCAGCTCCCGCCGGGTCACGCAGTAGTTCCTCTCGGCTCGCCCCAAGGCACAACTGAAGTACGTCACCACCCGTTCTCCAGCCTCGTCCTGCTGGGAAAGGACCGCCCCGACCCCTACATTGCTAGCATCAGTGTCCACAATGAAAGGTTGCCGGGCGTTGGGGTAGGCCAGGACTGGGGCTCTGGTGAGGGCCTCCTTCAGCTGTGCAAAAGCCGCAGCACAGGTATCCCCCCAGCCAAACAGCTGTCCCTTGTCAGTCAGGTGGTGGAGGGGGCTGGCCATTGTCGCGAACCCTTTGATGAACCGACGGTAGTAGGAGGCTAGGCCCAGGAAACTCCGCAGTTCTTGGAAGTTCGAGGGAGTCGGCCAGTCCCGGACCGCAGCCACTTTTGTGGGGTCAATGGCGACACCTCGAGCGCTGATCACATGGCCCAAGAACGTGGTCTCTCTCGCCAACAGCCGGCATTTTGCGGGGTTGAGCCGCAGCCCAGCTCATCGGATGGCACTCAAGACCTCGCTCACGTGAGACAGTGCACTGTCGAAGTCGCCACCGTGCACAAACAGGTCATCCAGGTACACAACACAGCGGCTACGAGGGATATCCACGAGCACCCTCTCCATCAGCCTCTCAAACGTCGCTGGCGCATTGCAGAGCCCAAATGGCATGACCCTGAACTGCCACAGCCCCTGTCCAATGGTGAATGCAGTCTTAGGCCTTGCGTCAGGGGCTAGCTCCACCTGCTAGTAACCGTTGCGTAGGTCGAGGGAGCTGAACCAACTGGAGCCGGCAACGTAATCTAGGGCCTCGTCGATCCGCGGCAGCGGGTACGAGTCCTTCTTGGTGACTGCATTGAGACGGCGAAAGTCCACGCAGAACCTCGGGCTGCCATCCTTCTTCCCCACCAGGACCACAGGTGCCGCCCATGGGCTATTGGACGGCTCGATCACCCCAGCCGCAGCCATCTCACGGATCTTCTCTTTCTCTACCTGCCGTTTTGAGAGGGGCAGCCGGTGTGGGCGCAGACGGATGGGCTGAGCAGAGCCGGTGTCGATGGTGTGCTGGACCAGACTCGTCTGCCTACAGCCTTTGTCACTGGTGGCAAAGATGTCCACGTTCTCGTCCAGGAGGCACCTCAGGAGGCCTACGCTACTGCGCTGCCAAAGGTCATCAACAGCCTCGATGGTCTCGGTCGAAGGAGGTTTGTCAGGCTGAGAGGCTGAGGCTGAGGCTGAGGCGAGTGGAGATGCCACCGGCATCCAAAATCTGCTGAGCGGCAGCTGCCCGACGCCTGTCTCATTTGGTCCCCGTTCCCTGCTTTTGGCCGCGCTGGAGAGCAAAAGTCTCTGCGCCAAGAGTGATAGCCAGCTTCACGGTGTCGACGCAGGCCCCCCAGCGGCTCAGCAGATCCAGGCCAATGATGCACTGGTCTTGAATGTCGGCAAGCCAGAAGTCGTGCACCAGCTCTAGATCCTTCACTCGGATCCGCAACGGTTTATTCCCCCGCATAACAGTTTTCTCCCCCGTCACTGTCATCAGCTGGGTGTCTGTGGGCAACCAACCCTTCACCAGTGGCCCGGATGTTCCAGGGAGCACGCCAGTCCCGGTCGTATCAGGGAAATGGTAGACCCTTTGTCCACCAGGGCCTGGCATGGCTGGTCCTCAACACAGCAGCTCA